GGGCCTCAAACGTTAGTGTCTTTGTTATGTCCCAACTACAGCATCTGTCCCAATTATAGTTGGGACAGTTCCAACTATATTTCTGCAGTTGGATTGGCCCAACTGTTGGTGGCCAATCTCTGTAGGAAATTTCTCAAGCTTCTCCAAATTTATGCAGTTCACTCCTGACATGATTCATTCAAAATATGGCACTCAATCTGTATGGGGCAGCACGGATATATCCGAGAGCTTCACAAAATGGGAGGTACATGTACATGTAGGCCTAGCAGTAGCAACCACACCGCACCATTGAAAACAACTGCAACGAGCATGCGCGCGCATAGGTACTGATCAAAGAAAAGATTGTGTAACCCGATCCTCGGACTAGCTGGTGCCTGTGTACGCCACCATGGTCGCTGTTTTCATTGGCATGGTACCTGCCATTTTGCGAGAGTCCTGGATGTCCGCACTGCCCCATACATGTACATGTACATGTAAAAAGTTTTTCTGAAAGCACAAGTTGATGATGTAGACAAAATGACTTTGCATCTTTGTGACATGCAAAGACACATGCACACACTGAACTTCTGTCATTCTGTGCTATACACGTAATTGGGCCGGTCCGAACTGTAGTTGGGACTGCACTGATGCTGCAGCTGGGACATAACACCTTTGCCACTAGTAGCGTACTCGGCCACTTAGCCTTAGCCTACTAGAGACTCAACATTTTTTTTACATGTACCTCAGCATGCTCAAAATCCACAGTAAGTGAAATAACAGGGCACTCTCAATACCGGTACTCCCGTTCATTAACTAGTAAATCTTGTGTTTATGTGGCCCTAGCCAGGTCCAAGTACATGTAACTACATGTTAGACTCTACAGATCACCTCTTTTAACATTTGGACATCGTCAGCAATACTATCAATACAATCGCTGACTAGTCATATATGCAAATGTGGAGAGTCCTAGTCACTCACACCAGGCCTAGCCTACCAGTACAGTGTTGTAATGAAATTTTATTTTGGTCTGCTTTTCCAGTTTTTTTTTTTTTTTTTAACTGTAATATGAACTCTTTTAAAATGCCCCCAAACATGCCAACATTAACAACTTTCTTACAAACTTGAAGTCGGGTACATGTACATTTGTCAACTTTGAAGAAATTCTCAAATGATAATGAGGGATTGTTTGAGATTTAAAATGCACAATGTTATTCAACACTTGGCTGAATCGGGGCAAAATTCCGGACTAGTTTTCATGACACTGAAACTGTTCACAAAGTTCAACAGCATGTTATGTCAGTGCTGTACTTTTTTAGAATTGTCTAAATTATGCACTGGTAGACATTTCAACCCATGTTTTGCAGTTTCTATTGCAGATTAATTATTATTGAAAGAACAAAATGCCAACTGACCATTATGGATGTTAATGCCCATTCATAAACACCTCTGACAGTGAGCCCCATTCTACAACATACAACTTGATGGTACATGCATATTAACATTTGATAATGCCCACTGAGAAGTGATGATGCCCACTGCGTGAATCACATGCTGGCAACTGGATACAAGATAGTTTAGTCGATTCTGATTGGTCAAGAGTCTGTGAGCACAAATTTGAATAAAATCTGGTACACTGAGTTATCTGATTGCACATGAACTTTACGATTTGAATTCCCCAGACTAAAGACACTGTTGCTATACCTTGTGATTCGGGGCAAGCTTTTGCTTAGTGACCACCATCTCTGGAATGGACTGGTTCCTTTGTGCCCTTCTTAACCATTGAGAACAGTGTATTGTTGCAAGGCGTCTCTTTTGTAACTAAGGAAAAGCTTGCCCCGAATCACAAGGTATAGCAATTGTGGCTTTAGTATGGAGAATTCCATTTGTTATGTTCAGTGTACCATATTTATTCAAATTTAACTCGCAAAAGGCTTATTGGACAATTTGCACAAGGAATATTCCATAAAACAGATGGGAGTGTTTGGGAAAATGAAAGTAAAGTTCTAGAACAAAATCGCTGGAAATCCATCATACATGTATATTGAATTTTGTTACTCTCTGACTAAAAAGTTATTTATGAATGAGAATACATGCACATGCAACTATGTGTTTGGCCAGCCCAGGAGACTGAATGGCGATAATTAGTCGTGTCCATTCTCCTGAGCCGGTCTTAAACGCAAGACCAGCCATATACACATGTATTTATTCCCTTATTTACGTGTCAGTGGTAAATTTTAACCTACACCTACATGTATGGGACATGTACAAGTACTGTACAGTGTATGTAAACCCCTACCATGCCTACTCTGTCAAACTGTCAGCCTTACATACACTGTATTTTATTGTCACGTTCCTGACATTCAGATAAACATTCATCATGAGGTACCCTGGTACAGCGTGACTGTACATACAGAATTCTACGTAGTGTTATGTGGTGTATGTAATGAAAGTGAAAAAAAAAAGTCCAAAGGAAAAGATCTACCCCTTCTTGTTTGTAGGCCTTTCAGCTCTTCATGTACATGTAGTTTATTTAATCATAGCCAAATCATTAAAACTCATGGAAAATGTCGGATTAAAAATTGATAATAAAACTATGGTAAGATCACCTTCTTGGATTGTTCTGCACATATGCACGATGTTGTATTTGAAAGATTTTGAAGGATCGGGAAGGGTTACGTACTATGTACTTATTTAGCTTATTGTATTTGAAGGATCGGGGAAGGTTACATATTTGTACTTATTTATCTTATTGTTTTTGAAGGATTTTGAAGGATCGGGGAGGGTTACATACATGTACTATGTACTTATTTAGCTTATTTGAAAGATTTTGAAGGATCGGGGAGGGTTACATACTATGTACTTATTTAGCTGTGTAAAGCAGGAACAGTCCACTCCTTCATTTCTTCTCCCTACTTAATTTTTCTTCACCCCAAAGTGCAGTGTATGTAAGTATATGATACATGATATGTGTGGGTGTGTGCCATTCACATGTGTGTGCATGCACGCATGGTACACAATGTACAAGTACATACATGTACATGTACATTTGTGCAACGGTTTGAGTTGTACTTTGCTGCACTACATAAGCAGGTCCTCCATACAGGCAAATGGATTTGTAACCAAACCACCCGATTTCTTTCAGTGACTCTACCGGTATCTTGTTTGTGTTTGTTTTTGGCCTATATTTGTTGTGAGTCCATCATCCAGATGTACACAGATAATTTTGTTTACAGCTTTGTGTACGTAACCTCAGCCCTGCCTAAAGTTGAGAAGATAGTTAGGACTATCTCTCAGAGATATTGCTGTGGTAACAATCGTATACCCTGGTCACTTGCAGTAAATGTACATGTACACTACTAGCATGTATACTATGTTCATGTACATGTACATTGGTATGTGTGGTGTGTATAATGACATGAAGTGTTGTATAGATAGTGTTCACATTTATGTACATGTATCTTGTTCGTTGAACCATAAAGATAGGGTTGGTTAGTACAAAGGTACACTGTCTATGAAGCAATCATCTTGATTGAATGAGTGCAGCTTTTGGTGATGTACCTGTTACATGTGCATGTGTTTGTAAATTGAGCATACATGTACATGTAGACATTGAAGTGGTAATTTTTAACTGAGTTTTTCTTCCACTTTGACCTTGATCCACAAACTTGTGTTCAAAATGATCCTACATGTACATGTAGTGAGTGGTGTGTCTTTAATTGTATCGCATCAAAGACATTTTTTGAAACATACAATGTGCATGTAATGTACACCTGTACATGAGTGTATATGAGATTAAAAAACAAGTGTTTGAGCAAAGTTAGCTTGCAGCTTATTTCGTTAAAGCCACATAATTAAATGAAATTCAGTTAAAAATACCCTTTAAAACTACATGTACATGTAAGTTGTATAACAGTGGTAGACCTACTAGAAATATGTACATGTACACTTTTTTTTTACATGTACGGTACTTATACACTGTATGTACATGTACACAAAAAATGGTGCATGTTTTATTGCTCTCATTGTTTGACTGTTAAATGTTAATTGCTTTACAAGTATATGCATTTCAAGTACAAACTTATTTTCGGTGAGCTACATACAAATATACATGTACATGTACATGTGCATACAGTTGAACCTCATCAATAAAGAGCACTGTTAAAACCACATGCTGTTGAAAACAAGGAAATATTTTGGTCCCAATTCTTTATTCTTCATTATTCTCATCTCCGATAATACAAGGTTCCTGTTGTAACAGGGTAATCTGCGAAGTCAGAAGCACCTCATAAACTGAAGCTCAACTGTAATGTACACACAGGATTAGTCATTTACTTTGTGCAATTTAGTTACTTGCCTGGGGCTTGTACTCTCCCCTAGTTGTCGCTGACAAATTAGATTGATCGTGTTGTTTAAATTTCATTTCTTCTTGTCAGATCCTCTGGATTCGTTCGAGATCATTCCAAATTACAGGTGCTATTGCAGTAAATCAACCGGCACTCTGGTGACTTGAGCATTTGCTGAACTGGATACGGCTTTGCAAATTTGATCAGGGGACCCACAAACTTCAGTCAAAGCTGTACTCTTCAAGATGTTGAAAATGACTGCACACACTGAACGTTAAAGTCCTCTGCTTCATTGCCGACGGAATTCTTCGATCATTTGGGTTTACAGACCTGGGATATCTTGTTCCCCAAGGTCTGACAACATGATGCACTTGTAGGTATGGCCAGACAGCGAAGCGGAGGCAATTTCCCCACCCAGGGGATTCCTACTCCTGTGGGGGTGGGGAAGGAGGCTGCAGACATTGTTAGGGAGCACTCGCTCTTTGAACTGGCCCTGTTGACCAGGCTGAGGACACCAGACACTAAAGTTGGGGCACGTGGGCGGAGCTATGTGAGTCAGAATAGGGTGTTCTACCGGTTGTGTTCCCACGTGCAGCGTGGCTGCACCAGCGTGACACTTCTCATGTGCAGTAATGGTGAGTATTGGGTATGGTCTAGACGTGAATAAAGACATGTACCACACATTCAGGTGCATTGCACATGTGCATTTACTGAAGGATTCTGCAGAGACAGACCATGGAGGATTGTGGGAAAGAGTAAGGGTTAGTGAAAAACAATCATGACTAAAGATTGGATACTTTGAGATATTTCGTCTGTTAGCATTTAGTTGATCTTTTCTGCAGGCTACCTGTTGGTGCGTTGTGATGAGCCTGCTAAGCCACCGATAATGAAACAGGTGCTGTGGTTTCAGGTAAGGATCCTTAACACTAACAAAACATCTCTCCAGAGAAATCTCTGGAAACTTCCACTTTTTAAACCGCAGTGGGGTCAGAAAGCACTTGAGTTACTTTGGTGAGAGGTCAAGGTGTGTTAATGGAGTTTACAAACATGACAAGTCTCGAGGTTCAGTACATGCATACATTACATGTATATCCAGACATGTACCTGTTTTGTCCATTTGGCCCATACCTGTGCACACAAACAGTACTCTGCACTTTGCCCTGCATTCACTGTACAGTACACATTTTTAACTGCTCAGAAAACTCAATTATAACAGTCACACTGATTATTACAGTTGGTTTACATCTGGCACAAGTATTTTTATGCAAAGTTTTAAAATTATGTTTCTCACTCAGTAACCATGTGTTTAAAAGATCAGATATCAATTTTCTGTCGAAGAAAATTGTGTGAAAGGGAGGATTTGGGCTAGTGAGATTTTAGGGCTGATGGGAATCTGCTTGAGATAAGAACTTGGTGAGATTTTGTGAAGGAGAATTTCAGAGTTTGCAGCTTCACTTGACCAACTCCTGAAGTGGTTTCTAGCCCTGTTGCCATCCTTTCTACTGTTTGCAGAACCCTCAGAAGGAGATCCAAGCCATTGCTCTGGACCCATCAGGTCGCCAGGCTGTGTGCGCGTGCAGAGACTCGTCAATCTATTTGGTCCCCATCTATGCGTTACTTCACCCCAGCACCGGTGCCAAGCAGAGCTGGAAGGCTGATGATCTGACCAGGATCATTGCACCAAATAAACGAGGTGCGTGATTGGCCAAGAGCCGTGCTGAAACATTTGGCTGACTGGACTAACTTTTCAACATGCCTGTGAGCAGCGATTGACGTCTGTACATTCAGATTCCATAAAATTAGTTTATAAAGCAGATTTTTCCACTTGCTTGTTTTTGAAATGTGTAAATTCTTTTTCGATATAAAGTGCATAAAGCAGGTGTTTTATGCAGGTTTCAACCCTGGACGTAAATTGATACATATGTACATTTGAACCTGAGAATTGCACCATTTAACCACTTCATGCCGGGGCATTTTTCAATGTTGATGATGCTGGGCCAGCATGACTATCATTTTTTTCGTTTTCAAAATCCTTCAACAATTCATCATTTCATTTAACTGTCGTTTATAGCCTTACAAAGTAATC